TGAGCTGCCCCCCCCCCTCCTAACTACCCCACCAACGGGAGGACGTTTGAGCACTCGACAGATTTAACGTGCATCGCTCCCCTACACGGCAGGTCTTCAGTGGTACTGGGATCGAACTCATGACATGCTAGCCACGATCCAATGCCTAGACCACTCTTTGAACTGGTTCTAGCTGCTTTAGGAAGAGAGGATTTTTCCGGTTAGGAACTAGAGATGGCTGAATAAAACAATTGTACTCTAGATATCAGTTCAGTATATGTTAGCGAGAATTAATTTCCATTGAAGAAGTTCCAAATATTGGCACAATCCTTCGATCTGGTGCAACAGCTCAAAGTTGTATTACTGAACAAGGATTTAAAAAGTGTGCTCTTGTAAAAATGTGCAATGGTAAAAAGTGGGCTTGTTTCAAAAATAATAAGCAGTCGAATCCAAAATGTCGTCACAGCAACCCTTGCTCTAATAAATAATGAAAAGTAAAATAAAAGTACCTCATGAAATTTAAATTAATATTCTCTTACATTTTCGTTTAAAAAAGTTTATACAAAGTTTTTATGAATAAACAGTTTTTCTTACCAGCATGTATTTTAATTGATAATATTTAAAAATCTATTTTTGCTACACATTCTTTTTTCCCCTTTTTGTTTAATGTTAGAAATATAAGCAATAAAAAATTATATTATCTGCTTTCCCTTATTATTTATCAATTATTCATCCGTAAAAAGGGATAAAATGTATTTTTCGAGAGATTTAACTACTTATGATCAATTAGTTAAGAAAAAAAAATTGAAATTGTTTATTTTTCACTTTAAACCATCTATCCTTAGTTATTTCATGAAATACCTAGTTATTCTATGAAATAACTGAATTATACACTTTAACGGTAACATATATATATATATATATATGTGTGTGTGTGAGAGTGTGTGTGTGTGTGTATTGTAAGTGTAATGAGAGAATTATTTTTCCTTTTTCTGCAAACTCACGCTAATGTGATTGATACTCTAATAATATAGCCTCAACAAAAAATGATACGAGCCACCTGCGCTAGCATACATTGAAGAATTCAGATCGTGACACACACGTTGGAATTTTCATTGCAAAAACATTATTCAATATCTCAAGGAAAAAATCAGCTTTTGTAAGTGACATTCATAACAGCAGGCAGATTTTATCAAGAAGGTTAGGCATAATTTTAACAAACTCATAAACATTCCGATAACAGCTGCTATGCAAGAGTGGTCTTAAATACTGGATAAAAAAGTTTTTAAATCTACAGAGTATCTTTAGAAGTATTATTCAATCTAACCGTCATTTTATATATAGAGAAAAAAAAAACTTGAAGAGATATTATTGTAAGAAAAAGGGGACAAAATTGCTATGATCTTAAATCCATTAAGATTAGTTTTTTGTGTTTTCCTTTTATGTTAATATCACTGTATAGTGTTGGTTTATATTACAATTTACATTTTAATAGAAATATGCATTTGTTTGTCTTTATTAAAAAAATTCTTAAGATTTTATTTATTTTTTACTCACTGTATAATCATTTGATATTCACGCATAGAAACCAAATTTTTAACGGCTACATATATTTCGGCTTAGTATTACAGGTCGTGTTAGTTGGAATAAAAACCTTTTTTAAAGCTAATGCGAGAGCTATGGATGTCAGTCCTCGTAATTAAAAGTCCTTTCGAATAATGAAAATGACATCTAAGTTGATATTTCACTCTTTAATAATTTCCATATCATGCCTCAAAAAGATTTTGAGGTTTATTTGAACTTTTTGAGTAAAGATGTCCTCATTATTGCGCATGATGGTCTTAGGTAGAAGCAGGATTCGAACCCATGAACCATGGGATCCTTTTTAATATTACAAAGATCTTAAGTCTTGCTGATTATATATGTATATATTTTTAATACATTCTAATTCTTTTTTTGTTTGTTTTTGTTTATAAAACGTTAAAACAAGACACCTAATGACAAACAAAGACACCTAAGACACACAAACAAGACACCGTTAAAGCAAGACACCACAATATTTAGACCCCCCTCTAAAATATCCCTTCTTTAAAAAAATGCAATTTTTGATAAATTTTATCTTGTTTTGATGTATGCTTTACTTACGTAAATTTTTCTCTCCCATGCAGCTCTAATTCTTAAGAACATATTCCATATTCCTTTTCTAAATATTACATTTCATTTTTTTTATTTGAAAATTAACCAAAGGGATTTTTAAATGTCCATTTTTAAAATACCCCCCCCCTCCCTCCTTTGCTTCAAACGACGACTTTGATCAATTTATATATAACTTGATTTTTGTCCCTCTTATATAATTTCATTTTCCACAAATTCATACTTTAAGATACTTAGAAACGGATTCAAACTACCTTATATTTGTACTTTACTAGCATCTGAACTATTTTTGGAACATTTTTTTATAATGATCTTTTAAAGAACTATCTGTTTAAAATTTCGATTACTGATTAACATCCTAAGACTTTTGAATCAAAATTAATAAGTTTCGCTAAAAAACCTTAATTTTATTACTACCAAATGAAAATAAATTTATGTATTGTAATTTATGAATTGCAGAGTAAAAATTCAATTGATTCTTAGTTGAAGTGTGTTTCTAAATACTTCGGCATTGATCTTAAAGAGGAAAACGAAATAATATATATATAACCAATCATATATCTTTATTTTTTCAATTACTATATTAGTTCACACACACAATCTCCCTATAATATATATATATAATATCTTGTTCATAAATTTTCCATTGTGTTAATAAAATACTTTCTATTCATCCATTCAAGTTCAAATACTTTTTTTTAAACTTGTAGTGGATGACACTTGGTGTTAATAGAGTTTTTTTCAAATATTAATTCATTAGTAAAACGTAAGTAATGAATATATAAATAGTAACAAACAAAAATAATAGTCCAACACCATATATTAAAAGGAAAGTCCCTCGTTGTGTCCCTGTAGTGCAATGGATATCGCGTTGAACTTCTAATCCAAAGGTCGTGGGTTCGAATCCTATCTGGTATGGCCTAATTTCTGAGAATGTGATTTATAAATGAGTAAATATAGGAACAAACAAAAATAATAGTCCAACACGAAAAATAGAAATAAAACTAGAAAGTCGCACTTTCTAATTGCTACTTAATGTTGTGATTCTTTCATATGTATTTTGATTGTAATGATTTAATAAAAAATAACTAAAATAAAATTTTTCTCTTTATTGACCTAAGTAGGTATTGACTTTAATTTTTTTTATATTTTACTTGTTATTTTTGTAAAAGAAATTTATAATTATAAAAGAAAATTCATCCTGTTTTACCTATAACTCTCTCGCACCAATATTTTGCCTTTTTTTTTTTTTTTTTTTTCAAATAACATTAAATTTTTTCCCAAACTTTCATTAAATAAAAAAATATTTTATTTTCTTTGTATTTTTGGTATTTAAATATGGTTTTGTATATGTTTCTGACACAACGAAAAGGGAATTTGTCGCATCTATATTTACAAGATGGAGTTCAAGGATTTTGATATGACCACGTGAATTTCTATTATCCACGCAAAAAACCCTTAAAAAATGGCTTTGAAAACATTTGCCATGCAAACGTACAATAATTTAAATCCCAGACCACAGCTGTTGAACACTCACATGGAAATATTTTTTGTTGATGTATTAGTACATGCCATTAACAAACACGAAACAAACTAGATCTAACTGGCCGAAAAGCTAATTCAGAAATTCTCGTGTGTGTGTGTTATCATCAATGCAGTTCGTCGCCTTTATTTTCTCCTGGATTACATCCATTGGTAATTAATATTTTTCTTCCATTTAAAAGCAATGCTGAAAAAAAACTTACTTTTATTTTGTTAAAATTTAGGATATATATATATATATATATTTAATTACTATTATATTGTGAGTTAGCAGAGATGGGTAAATTTTTTAAGGAGCAGACCGAAAAGAGAAGGAAAAAAAAGGAAACTTTAGGTGGCAGTACAGTTTATTATAAAGTGTAATAAAAAAAAAAGTATTTTGGAACTTCTTAAATGCTAGTACAATTTATAAAGCTGTGACTGCATTTTTTTTTTTAATTTTCCGAAATTCAATAGAAACAAATACGTAAATTTTGATAATCGTATGCATATTAAGGCGATTTTCATTCTTTGGAAATGCAGAATTTTTTGTATGATTTTCTGAAAAAAATTTCCAAAACTGTTTTTTTATATTCTAATAATATTCACTTATACGAAAATTTTCGCTTATTCAAACACTATAAAAGAACTCCTTAAGTTATTTTAAAAACTATGTATTGTGTGTGTGTGTGGAAATGAAATATTTTTTTTCTGTATTATTGTTTCAAAATCTACAGCGGGCCGAATAGAACCTCTAAATGAGCCGCGTCTGACCCGCGGGCCGTACTTTGCCCCTCAATAGACTGGATTGCAAGTAATCGCTGAATTTAAGAATGAGGATTAAAAAAAAAAAACCCTGTAATTTACGTATAATAAATTTTATTTTATTTATTTTAAAAGGAAATCTCTTCAATAATTAGGTAGTATTGTTTTTAGAATTATTTTAAATGTTTTTAGCATTTATTGTCGCTAGAAAACAACAGCAACAAAAAAAAAAATTCCCTTTAATACTTTTTTTCAATTTCTAATATTAGTCCACACTCTCCCTATATTTATTTATATATATATACATACATACATACATATATATATATATATATATATATATATATATATATATATCTTGTTCAAATTTGCAATCGTTAATAAAATACTTTTTATTCATCAACTCAAGTTCAAATCATTTTTTTTAAACTTGTAGTGGATGACACTTAATGTTAATACACTTGGTATTAACACAGTTTTTTCAAATGTTATTTCATTAGTTAAACGTAATTAATGAATAAATAGTAACAAACAAAAATAATAGTCCAACACCATATATTAAAAGGAAAATCGCTCGTTGTGTCCCTGTTGCGCAATGGATAGTTCGTTGGACATCTAATCCAAAGGTCGTGGGTTCGAATTCCATCTGGGATGGCCTAATTCCTGTGAATGTGATTTCTTTTTACTATACTATTTTATTGAAATAATTACATTTAGTTAATGAATAAATAGTAACGAAGAAAAATAATAGAATCCAACACCATATATAGAAAGTAAAAGGAAAAGCGCTTTCTATTTTGTTACTTAATATTGTGATTCTGTCATATGTATATACATATTTATATTATATAATTGTAATTATTTAATAAAAAATAAAAATAATATTTTTCTTTGTTAACCTAAGTAGGAGTTGACATTTTTTTAAATATTACTTGTGTTTTTCTTTTAATTTTCATTCCAAAGCAGAAGATACGTGCCTAAAATGAGAAAAAATTTATTCATTATTTTAGAAACGACATATATTTAAGTATATTTTGTAAGTGCATTATAAAGCGAACGCATCTAAGGTTTGTTAGTTTTTTTTCTCTTGTTGAATTATCAGATTAAGAGAATGGATTTACCTTGGAAGAAACCATTGATAGTCGTTCCTTCCGGGTAGTTAGCTTAAAATCTGAATTTAGATTAAGGTTTAATTTAGCTTTCAAAAAGGAAGTAAAAAAGTATGAGGTTAAACAAGATAAGAACACCCATGTGCTTTAATTTCTATTTTAAAATATCGAAAAAAGTTACCTATAGGAGTGAAATAAAATGAAAAATATTTTTTTCATTTTCCTCTCGTATAAATAACCGTTAAGCATTAAGTGTAATTTCTTTAATTAAAAAAATGAAAATGTTATTAAAAAATAGTATGCTAATATGTAATGAAATATACACGGTTTTGTTTATATCACTGAGAATCAAATCGTTTCCTCACAAGTATATAGCGTTAACATTCAATTAGTTCCCATAGCTTCTTATTAATTTTTTTGTTTATTTATAATTAATGTATCATAAAAAATCGAATAAATGTGAAACGAGCTCGCATAAATATAAATAAAGTTCAAGAATTCCTGAAATAGGAATGTATATAAATACGTTATTTACTTGAATCTATATATGCTGCACTTTTTTTCAAATGTTAATGTTGCTGAAAATCTAGTGTGACTTAGAATCGAAGGGAAAAAATCGTTGAATGGGGCAATTAGAGCAATTTCAGGTTCATGCACGTAATATAATACGGTTCATGCACGTAAGTTTATAATACGGTTAAAGTAACTAGTTGTTCACTTCTTATTAGTCCACATTTTAAAGCTATTTTAGTTTCATAAAACTGGATACCCGATAAACCACATTTTGTACTATTTTTCATAAAAACTTGTTGAGCATTAGGGATGCGGCTTAGGTTTGAGTAAATACGGTATATACTGTGCCAGCTTTTCAGAATACAGTTAATAATAGACAATCATACAATAGAGAAAAAAAATAAGTTACTGGATAAAAGTTAGAATTTATAATAAACTATTCAGTTAAAACACACAGACGATGAGAAAATTCTAGTAAATTCGAAAAACTACATTTTAAACTTTAAAACTGAGAAGCATGTTTTTGTATTTAGAATGATTAAATTCCATTAACGAAGAATTTGAAGCATTTTGAAACCAACTATCTTTTCACATTAATCAAACAAATAATTCAAGTTTTATTGTTAAATCTTTTTATCAAATAATGAGATATCTTTATGAGAGAATGAAAATAAATATTTTATCTAAAATCATTTAGTTGTTGTATTTGATTATCTTTATCATGCCCCCCCCCCATTAAATTGCTTCATTATTGTCTTATGTAACCTATTCCAATTGAATAAATACACTTAAAAGGTGAAAGTGGGAGATGGTTATCTTCTGTTATGAACCGAAAAGATATTGCTTAATATTGAATGGGGCTTTTTGTAAGCCTTGGAAATTGGAATAAAATAAACGCAAACATTTAAAAAAAAGCACTAAAAAATGTTTATATCAAAATCAAGAAAGAAAATGAAAAATTAAGTAGAAGAAAAGCATTTATATGTTTTCTTTAAGGAAGGAATTATGTACCTCCGGGCACTATGACCAGCATTATGTTGAGTGCTTCGCCGTTCTTTTGATACGACCCTTCCCCTCTCCTAGGTGGCCGCGGTAGCCAAGTGGTCTAGGCATTGGATCAGGGCTAGCGTGTCATGATTTCGATCCCAGTACCACTGAAGACCCGCCGTGTAGGGGGGCGATGCACGCGTTAAATCTGTCGAGAGCTCAAAAGTCCTCCCTTTGGTGTGGTGTGGTAGTTAGGAGAGGGGGTGCCAGTTCAGGTGTCGTACGCGTCACTTGACCATGGTTCAAAATTACACGGACCGCGTCGCCAAAAGCCCTCGTGTAGCTGAACAGTGCGACGTAAATATTCACTCACTCACTCACCTCTTCTAGAAGAGGGGGCGTTTATCGTTTTACAGTTTCGCTTTCAACTAGAGGGAGCTTTTAATACGTAATTAAAGTGAAATTAAGAGTAAAATTTTGGAAAAAAATCATTCGATTCCTTTATTATTACTGTTTTTTTTTTTTTTTTTTTTAGAATTAAATTTTTAAAATAAAATTTTTTGTAATACACACGAATTTTGTGTGCCAGAATAAAATTTAAAATATATGTATTTTTTTTTTGAAAAAAAAAGAAAAAAAAGGAGAAAAGAGAAAAAAATAACCTTGTTAAATATGTAAGAAAATTTCATGAAGGCCAGAAATTTCATGTAAGAAAATTTCATTTATTTGCTTCGATACACTCTTTGAGACACAATCGAAATACAGCGTTAAATTTCATTTTAAGAGAATTTAAGAAAAAAGAAAAGAATTGTGAGGTAAAGTGTCTTATTTCGCGTACTTAATTTCCTGAAAGGTAAAGAATAGTATCCAAAATATTCTGTATTAAACAGAGAATAAAAATAATTTTTTTATTTTTATATAAAATTAATATTATTTACAAGAATAACCTAATCAATCTTTTTACGCTTGCATAACTTCATGTAATTGTATCAAATTTCACAAAGTATTATTTTACTTACGATTTACAAAACATAAATTAAAAATTTACACTGCTCCTAGTCAATCTTAGAATGCAGTGAATAATTTGGTTTAAATGTAGAAAAGTTTATTTCAAACTTGAAGAAAAATAGATAAAAAAATTCAAATTTATAAATAGGAGATTACTAAGATTTTTTCCATATGATCCCCCCAATATTTTTAGATTTGTTCCATATATTTTGCAGCCATGGTAGCCTTGTGGTCACGGTCTCTAACTCATGACCGGTGTAATCTTGTTCTGATACCACCGATGACTCATCTTGTAGTGTATATATATATAAGCCCTTATTCAACCAGTAGTTTACTTTTAACTAGCAAATAATGGTAAAGCTCATTCACAATTTGCCAAAAAATTTGTAAAAAGTTTTTACATCACAAGAATGCACTTTGTTTAGTGTTACAATCTATAAATTCATTCCTGAAATAAAAATAAAAAGTTGGAAGCGTAGAAATTTATATCAAACCAGTTGTGTTAATAGTCAGAAATATAACAATCATCTGATTTTATCCTTATAGAAAATTACGCTTCACTTACATTGGTTTACAAATTAAAAATAATTTTATAAAAGTTTAACATCAAAGCTTTTTTTTTACACAACTTAAAATCGAGCTGTATAAATAATTGAGTGTGCAATAAATAATTAGAGGTCAACACAAATCATAGTTAATTCCTATTAAAAAAACTTAGTGTACAAGAAAATATGCTTCTATTGCTAAACCTCTGCTTCAGAAGTTCAAAGCCTATAAATTTAAAGTTAATTACTTTTTGGAGACATCAGTAGAATAACTGATCAATCCCGGTATGTGTTGAAATGCAGTTTATATTTCTTCCGTAGGGGGGAAGAGGAGTATAAGCTTGTTCAAGGAGAATTTCCAGGTGTTTTGCAATGCGATAAGGCGTTAACCGATGATAATATGCCCTTGTCTAAAAAATGGCTGCAAGACGCGATAAAAGATACTCAGTTATCTTCAGTAAAAAGATACGCTGATAGTGCTTATGTACTTACAGAACTGGATTTTTTTAAGGGGCATGGGCCTCCCAATGTAGCCTTACGCCACTTTCTCACTACAGGTTTCATTATCATTTTTAGGGCATTATGTTAAGCTCCCTGACACCATGAACCCCTAACATAAAAAGAAGCAAAACTGCTCATAGCTATAAGTAGCGGTTGATTCTCCTTAATGTTGCTGCTCACGTTTCGAAGATAGTTGAATTGAGGGGTTTGAATCGCCGGGTACTATAATTACGGGCAATTTTTTTACGACATACTTGGGTTGCTTTCACTCTCAGTCGTTTCGTGGGAATTGCTCGATCTTTGAACCAAGTTGTTGTCTGTGTTCATTTCTTCATTTTTAAGAGAAAAAAGGCCATTCGAGTAGCATAAAGTAATTTAGCAAACGAAAATTTCTTTAGAGAAGAATAACTCTTAACATTTTCTCTGTGCCAGCGTCTTTTAATTTTTTAAAAAACTACTCCTGAGAATGGCTATTTTTTTATTTTTGCTTTTGAAAATATCTTGGTAAGTAATTGAATTCTAATTTCCTTTTGGGTTATAAAATATTTTGATATAGTCTATGGTTTATAGTTAAGCTATGTTTTCCAATATAGAATTAATTACGTTGCATGTTGTATTGTAGTGTTTCAATATTCGTCAGTAGTGTACAGAGACAACTTTCATGGGAGGGGTTATATTTGTAAAAAACACGTCAACGAAATCACCTAGACGTAATCTTTCTGCGAAACGCCACTGATAACAGTAAAGGAACTAAATAAAATGTTTAATTTTGTTATCAGTAAGTTATCAGCAAGTCCATAAATTGTAAAACAAGATCAATTTTTTGTACAAAGCTTATCAAACGCATTTATCTAAATTTTTTAAAAAAATTCTGTGAATAGCCCAAGAAAGAAATTTTTTATAGCTAAAATCGACATAATAAGAGAGAAAACTTAACTATGAAAATTAAACATTCAAGTGATTAAGATAATTTTTTAATGGTTCTATATTA